TGGAAATGTATTATTTATCATTTGTCTATCACTTTTCCTTTTATCTAGAATATCATTAAACTATAGCAGATAATTTTTTCAAAGAATATTAAAGAAGAAATTACACCCAAATCAAGATGGTAAATGTATTAATACATAGCAAAAACTGAGTCCTGGGATATATGAAATATTAGCAAATTAATCTGAATGTAAGCATTAATGGTGTTTCTATACCATTTTGTTTGCCAGAGGAAATCCACGTGGATAAGCAGTTTTTATAATGATTTGTTTTATGTAAACTAGAGCAGAAAGCATAGTAGGAAGCATAGACAGGAGGGAAATTAAAATGAGGAGAGAGAGTGAAAGTGATAAAAATTACTAGAAAGAATTATTCCTAAATGTGGTATTAGAAGTTAGATTTAGACGTTTAAAAAGGCTACTATTTTTTTGTTACGGAAAACAATCAAGAAATGGATATGCCAATTTGTGGGAGTGAGACAAGATGTCAGTGGGACACGACATTAAAGCTATAGCCCTGTGTGTAGTCTCAGAGGCCGACATTCTTATTCTCATTCCTCCTGTGTTACATTTACAAGAAGCCACTGGGTAAGTCATCTACTGGAGTCAGGTATCATCAGTATAGTGACGATACATCTAATTCTGAGTAGAGCAATTCTGAGTTTGCAATTCTGCCACTGTGCCTAGAATCTATTTATGGGGAGGAAGAGGCTCCACTTAATCCCAAGAAGCCATGTTTTGGGTGTGAAAGGAGACCCTTTTGGTTCAAAACATTCCATGTTTAACTCCATCCGTATAAGGTTACACTTCCCCAATGCAGAGCTGTCCAAGGAATTTGTTCATTGTTAATCATGCCTTGATTGTTTCTTTTTGAATTCCTGCAATTTGGTCTACATGGGGCCACCCTTGAAGACCACTACATAATGCAGCAGTTAGTCACAAATTGATTTGCCCATGTAACATCTGTGCATTAAGAGCTATGCTGGTTATTAATACTATTATGGGTAAAATTCAGTCTATCGTCTTTTTAAAGCCTTTCATGGTTCAAGATTTCAGTATCTATCACTCCTCTCAGCAGTTTTTGCCCATCCATGATGAACTGGAAGAAGGGAATCTCTCCAGATCACATTTCTTGAGAAATGAAATCCACGGGAATTTCAGCATCAAATTTTCTCACTGCTTGCCCTTTCTGAAATAGTATTCCCAGACATAATTGGGACTGTCTTTTCCCAATTACATCTACCTGACCCACTAGATGGTGCAAGAAAGGTATGTTAGCCCGCCCCTTGGTGGGTCCAAGAAGAAGGGCCTCTTCAATGGTGAATATCTCCCTGTGAAACATAATCTCTCTCATCAAGTTTGGCCCTTAATACTGTTCTGAAAGGGCCTGAAGGTATGGTTTTGCCTGCAGGCATGGTTGGTATGGAGCCCCTCAAATGGATTGTCTGAATATTGTTGCCAATGGGTGGGGTGTGTTGGGTTTTCCATTTGGGATTTTATTCCTGTAAGCCTCCCCGAGTCACTATAAATGAGTTGAGCAGCCACCTGAATTTCCCTAAATGAATGAATGGATAAATAAGTAAGTAAATAAAAAAAATTCTTGCTCTCCTGGAATTTTGAAAAACTGTTAAGATCTTCCCTTTCAGTGGACTTCTGGCTTCTTGTTTTCCTCTGTGGGCTGCATCTCTATCAGCTTGGATCATCCTCAGTGTTGAGGACTTTGTTGTTACCATTATCAAGGTTATATTACACCACTATGAAGGTTTAAGATGTCCAGAGTCAGTTATGATTGAACAGGCATATTAGATAGATAGACAGATAGATAGATAGATGGATAGATGGATGGATGGATGGATGGATGACAGACAGCTAAATATAGTAGTATAACAATGCTTTGCTGAACCATTACATATAAAAATGTTGCATAAGCTTAAATGGGTTGATGCCAAAAATATCAGAGAAGGGAGATGCCCTTCTCTACAAGTAAGGCATTTGTGTTAAACAGAGGCCTTTACTTGCCCTAACTGGAAATGTTGGGGATTGACTCAGGGACCTGAACAAGTGTTTTACTATCCATATCTTTTTACATGTCATCATTGTAAAATCAAGTTTCCACTCCCCTATATTCTTCATTTGATGTTGCTTCCATGGTAGCAAAGTAACACAATGTGATGATTTCATGTTCCACATTTGTTTTATTAAACATTATTAAGGAGAGAGAGGCAGGACACAACACAGAGCTTGTTCTTGGCAGAAGCTTCACTTTTGCCATTACATTTCACTCTGGAATGAAACAGGCTCACAATATAAAATGATATTTGGTTGGTCACCCGTAATGACCAAGGGTCACCTCCAAATAAATGAGAAGCTGTATAAATATTGTTTCTTTTAGATTTTAAACAATATATACAGATGTATCTGGACCAGCAAGGCCAGAAATTTTTAAGGCTACTGCTTATCACCAGAAGTGTGTATTTATGTGGAATAATTCTTGGAGCTAAAATTTCATCTCTAGATTAACATAAAATTCAGTTTAATTGAAAAAAGAAGTGATTGGAGTATATGAGAGCATCGAGATCATGTATGGAACTTTTACTGAAATTCCAGTCCAAATATAAACATTTTTTGTCCTATACAGGAGAAACTCAAAAAATTAGAATATCGTACAAAAGTTTATTTATTTCAGTAATGCAACTTAAAAGGTGAAACTAATATATGAGATAGACTCATTACATGCAAAGCAAGATAGTTCAAGCCGTGATTTGTCATTATTGATGATTATGGCTTACAGCTCATGAAAACCCCAAATCTACAATCTCAGAAAATTAGAATATTACATGCAATCAATAAAACAAGGATTGTATATAGAACAATATCGGACCTCTGAAAAGTATAAGTATGCATATGTGCTCAGTACTTGGTTTGGGCCCCTTTTGCAGCAATTACTGCCTCAATGCGGTGTGGCATGGAAGCTATCAGCCTATGGCACTGCTGAAGTATTATGGAAGACCAGGATGCTTCAATAGCAGCCTTCAGCTCTTCTGCATTGTTCGGTCTCATGTTTCTCATCTTTCTCTTGCCAATGCCCCATAGATTCTCTATGGGGTTCAGGTCAGGCGACTTTGCTGGCCAATCAAGCACAGTAATCTCATGGTCATTGAACCAGGTTTTGGTGCTTTTGGCAGTGTGGGCAGGTGCCAAGTTCTGCTGGAAAATGAAGTCAGCATCCCATAAAGCTCATCTGCGGAAGGAAGCATGAAGTGCTCCAAAATCTCCTGGTAGACGGCTGCGTTGACCCTAGACTTAATGAAGCACAGTGGACCAACACCAGCAGATGACATGGCTCCCCAAATCAACACAGACTGTGGAAACTTCACACTGGACTTCAAGCATCTTGCAGTGTGTGCCTCTCCCTTCTTCCTCCAGACTCTGGGTCCTTGGTTTCCAAATGAGATGCAAAAGTTGCTCTCATCAGAAAAGAGGACTTTGGACCACTGAGCAACAGACCAGGTCTGTTTTTCGTTAGCCCAGGTAAGACGCTTCTGACATTGTTTGTTGTTCAGGAGCGGCTTGACAAGAGGAATATGACATTTGAAGCCCATGTCCAGGATCCGTCTTGTGTGATGGCTCTTGATGCACTGACTCCAGCCTCAGTCCACTCCTTGTGAAAGTTCCCAACACTTTTGAATGGCCTTTTCCTGACAACCCTCTCCAAGCTGCAGTCATCCCTGCTGCTTGTGCACCTTTTTCTTCCACACTTTTCCCTTCCACATAACTTTCTATTAATGTGCTTTGATACAGCACTTTGGAGCATCCAACTTCATGTGCAATTACCTTTTGAGGCTTTCCCTCCTTATGGAGGGTGTCAATGATGGTTTTCTGCACAACTGTCAGGTCAGCAATCTTTCCCATGATTGTGATTCCTACTGAACCAAACTGAGAGACCATTTAAAGGCTCAGGAATGCTTTGCAGGTGCTATGGCTTAGTTAGAGTGGGACATTTTGAGCCTAGAATATTGAACCTTTTCACAATATTCTAATTTTCTGAGATTGTGGATTTCAGGTTTTCATGAGCTGTAAGCCATGATCATCTCAATTATGATACATCACGACTTGAACTATCTTGCTTTTCATGTAATGAGTCTATCTCATATATTAGGTTCACCCTTTTAAGTTGCATTACTGAAATAAATGAACTTTTGCACGATATTCTAATTTTTCGAGTTTCACCTGTAGATTTCAATGGGAAGAGTAAAGCCAATGTTTTTTGCCTGGAAAATAACATACATGAAGAGGCTTCTACTTCCATTGTAGTCTCCCATTTCATCCCTAAATTTCAAACCTAATATCAAGGGGGAAAATGCATCTTTCAGAATTTGTATACAAAGATGCAAAAGGACAAATATAAAAAATATAAAAATGTCTCAAGAAAAAAAAGTCTGGTATAGTTAATTCCTAAAACAGAAAAATCTGGAGCTTCTAATCCAAATGGAATGAATGTTTCTAATATTTTTATATCTTTTTGAAGATAATAATATTCTTGAAGACAACCCAACATATCTAAAATATTGTTATAATTTTCTCTTGGAATATTATTCTTTAAAGAAAAAGTTTGAAAGTTATAAAATGTAAGAGTACTAAAAAATAAAATGAGATGAGGGGAATAAATGTTTGGAGGAAATAGCATTTTATGCAGGAAAATACTGGAGAATTGTGAGACCTGCTTAAAAGCTTCTATTTTTCCAAATTTTAAAGGACAATTCAGTATCTGATTGCCATTAAAATTATTTGTTCATCCATTCATATATTCTTGGCAGTAAGAAATATTTATGCTGCAAAACCAAACTCTGGATGCTGGGAAACCAGCAATCTCATCATTTGAAATATTTAGAAAATGCACCCATAATTGCATTAATAAAGGTACGTGAACACCTAATGTCAAAGTAGGTTTAGATACAGTTTGACATGATGCCACTCAAATATGTTCTGAATTAGATATCCAGAATCTATACATATAAAAGTAAAATAGCACTCACACATCATCACAAAATCTCCAGAACCATAAAGCTTACAAACTTGAAATTTGGCACATATGTTCCTCTTGGCTTCTTGGTGCTCACTAAGAAAGGATTTTTTGAAATGACCATCAGAGCATTAACATTTCCTATATTATTATTAACACACTCTGATGCTAAGAGTTCTACTCCCCCTCCCCACTTGAAAAGAAATCTGTTCCATATGCAAAACACAAGCAGAGGAGTTTCAGTTTCAGAACAGCAACCACCTCTAGTACAGAACAGTTGAGCTAAGCCATGCCCAGACTCCTTGTTGTCTCCTTCTTGTTCACACAGCAAGTACTGTTTCAGTTCCCAAACAGCCCTGAATTCTCTTACATACTGACAGGACACTTGCCAGATGAATACTGATGGATGCTGGTAGGCGGAGGCACAATTTCCCCCCTTATTTTCCTCCCCCAAAACTAAGCCCAATCACATAGTTTCATAGCAAAACATGGGCATAGAACTAGAACAGAATAACAGAGTTGGAAGGGACCTTGGAGGTTTTCTAGTCCAATCCCTGCCAAGCAGGACATCCTATGTTGTTCCGGACAAATGGCTGTCCAATCTCTTCTTAAAGACATCCAGTAATAGAGCAACCATGACTTCTCGTTCTGACCTAGGCTTCCTTAGAAAGCATAGAACACAATCTTAATCCCTGCAAAACCTCTTTTATTTCCAAAGCTGTGAATTACATTCATTCACAAGGCTTCACATACAGCCTTTCTGGGGACTGTTGATAAACACCCACCTTATCACACTTGGAATGCGTCGGAGAACTAATTGCCAGACGCAGGGCAAACCCAAACTTGACACAGAGTCGAACAGGATTTTTCAAAGCTTGTGTTCTGAGCAAACAAACTGATTGCTTCCTGCAAAAGCTCATGTCCTATTCACCTCTTTTCTATCCTATGGGAGGGGCCAATCATCTCCGAGGTGTGGCTTTACTCCTGAGTTGACCCTGCTTTCTCAATTGTTCTTATCTTCTGCTAGCTCTGTGCATGTATAGGCTGGGAACTGGTTCCATAAGCTCCTCCACCTCACTGCTGTCTGAGTCTGAAGGCAGCTGCTGACTGCCAACCTGCCCTGGTCCCATCTCTGCCTCTGATGTAGTGTCCTCCTCCGGATCTTCCTCAGCCTCCAGGCCCGGCCCAGGTTCCTCCCCAATTTCCTCCCTACTGTCCGACTCTTCTGCCAGCTCCATCAGCTGCCAGTGGACCACAACGCTTCTAACGGCAAGATGTTCCACTGATTAATCATTCTCACTGTCAGGTAATTTCTCCTTAGTTCTAGTTTGGATCTCTCTCTCTCTGATAAGTTTTCATCCATTACTTCTTGTGTTGCTCTCAGGTGCCAATTTGCTTTGGCTGTTAGTAGATCAGATTCTTGTGTTTTGATATAGAATAAACTTGTAGTACTTTTGAACTCTATCCTGATTCTGGATTTCTTGCACCTGACATATTCCTAATAATAATAATAATAACAATAACAACAACAACAACAACAACAACGATGATGATGTTCTTTCTGCACCAACTCAGAAAGCTCAAACTGCCCAAGGAGCTGCTGATACAGTTCTACAGAGGAATTACCGAGTCTGTCATCTACACCTCTATAGCTGTCTGGTTTGGTTCTGCAACCCAACAGGACACAGACTTCAGAGGATAATTAGGACTGCAGAAAAAACAATTACTACCCACCTGCCTTCAGTTGAGGACTTGTATACTGCACAACTCAAAAAGAGGGCTGTGAAAATATTTACAGAGCCCTCACATCCCGGACATAAACTCTTTCAATTCCTTCCCTCAAAATGATGCTAGACACAACTAGACACAAGAACAGTTTTTCCCCGAAAGCCATCACTCTGCTAAACAAATAATTCCCTCAACACTGTCCAACTATTTACAAAGTGTACACTACTATTAGTGTTAATCTTCTCACCACTCCTTATCACCCATTCCCTTCCAATTGACTGTTTCCTAGTATGATTTGATTGTTGATTGTACCCTACGACTATCATTAAGTGTTGTACGTTATGATTCTTGATTCTTAATGAATGTACCTTTTCTTTGTGTATACTGAGAGTATTTACACCAAGACAAATTCCTTGTGTGTCCAATCACACTTGGCCAATAAAGCATTCTATTCTATTCTATTCTATTCTATTCTATTCTATTCTATTCTATTCTATTCTATTCTATTCTATTCTATTCTATTCTATTCTATTCTATTCTTCTATTCCATTCCATTCCATTCCATTCTAATTGATAATATTGCAATATTTACAGTCCTATTAAGTTTATGTGGGTTTTGCCTGGTCAGTTTATGGAACCAATTTCAGTTACTTCAGCCTCAGAAAGTGGCAAAAAAAATCTTTATGGTGATTAAGCAAACTATTTGGGCTTTAGAGCCTTGTTCACTGTGGCTGCTCAAATCTAATAGAAGGGGTTAGGGAATACTCAATGCCATTTCACATGAGAAAGTTATATCAGTTGCCTGGAGGGGAGGCAATTAAGTACCTTTTTTTGAAAAGTCTATCCTTGAAACTGAAGGTTCCCCAGTTTCAAATATCCTTTTCTAGGTAAGATGTTAGAGAGATAGCTACCCTGCTATAGTAGAAGCATATTTAGAAGCCAATTATCTTGATCCATTTTATTTTGGCTTGAGGCTAGCATACAACACTGAAAAAATCTTGATTGCTCTGCTTAGTGATTTCTACTGGAAGAAAGACAAGGGAATTCTGGATTTCTCAGTGGTATTCAGTGGTATTAATAATGGGATATTGCTGGAATGGCTCAATGGATTGGAAATGGGTAGCACTATTTTATGATGATCTGATTTCTAACAGGCTACAGAATAATTGCTACCAGAGAATGGCAATGATATATTATCACTTGGTTTGTGCTTGAGTTGCAATATCTCAGAGGTTTCTATCAGTGGTGGGATTCAAATTTTTTTTACTACCGGTTCTGTGGGTGTGGCTTGGTGGGCGTGGCAGGGGAAGGATACTGTAAAATCTCCAGTCAGAGGTGGTATTTGCTGATTTTCTGAACTACTCCAAATTTCTGCTACTGGTTCTTCAGAACTGGTCAGAACCTGCTGAATACCACCTCTGGTTTCTATCCTTTTTTATCTACTGTTCAATATCTACATGAATTGTTAAAGTAGTTATTTGGATATTTCCACTATAATATCACCAACAAATGAACTCTCTCCTTTTGCACCTCAGTCAAGATATGCTATGCAAATGCTTACCAGTTGCCTGGAGAATGAGGTCAACAAGCTGAAACAGAAGTGTCATAGATGTGTCATTCTCAAGCTTACAAATTAAGAAGATGGCTTGTTGCAGGATAAGGTAAGAGTCCCTCTAGAATGAGCAAGTCCATAGTTTGGAGCAGGGGTGGGATATGAAAGAGTTAACTATCGGTTCGGGATTTACGAGCTTCCCTGCACGCTGTGAGCCGCATGCCTGTAAATCGTCATCAGCATGCTATGTGTAGAGAAGCAGCCTTTGAAACAGCCCTCTTTTCCTGCTTTTTTAACTGCAACTGTGGCTTGTTCGGCAGCTGAAGTTGAAAAATCAGGAAATAAAGATCAGGCAAGAGCCCAGGTGGGCAAAAACATCAGCAGAATAGAACCAGTTCTATGTCTGCTACTCTTCAGAGCTACCGGTTCTACATAGGTGGACAGAACCGGTAGAAAGCCACCCCTGGTTTGAAGGTTCACCTTCATTGTACTCTGGCATAGGCATCATCAGTGTCAGGAGAACAAATTTAGTTGATCTGCCCTGCCTGAACCAGCTTAGTCTCAGTGATTTATAACATATGAAGAATGGTTGCAGTTTGCCTAGTCTAGAGAAAAGAAGGTCTAGGGGGGACATGGTAGCAGTGTTCCAGTATTTGAGATGCTGCCACAAAGAGGAGGGGATCAACTTATTTTCCAAAGCACTGGACGGCAGGACAAGAAACAATGGATAGAAACTAATCAAGGAGACAAGCAATCTGGAATTAAGGAGGAACTTTCTAACAGCGAGGACAATAACCAGTGGAACAGCTTGTCTTCAGAAGTTGTGGGTGCTTCATCACTGGAGGTTTTTAAGGAGAGACTGGACCGCCAATTGTCTGAAATGGTATATGATTTTCTGCTTGAGCAAGGGGCTGGACTAGAAGACCTCCAAGGTACCTTCCAGCACTATTCTCCTTCGAGCTGCTCGGATCATCCAGAGAGTGGGAGGTGCTTCAGTCTGTGTTGATTATAGGCTGAGTTGAACTATTGAGGAAACGCCCTCCCTCCATCACGTGGCTCCATCCAGGCGTTCCCCCAGTTTCTGCTCAGCCCTGTGAAAGCTAGGCTGCATTGTTTATCCCTCCTTGGCCGTTTCAGGACTTCGCATTTTTGCTTAAGGTTTGCCTTAAAATGTTTTTTCCTTAGCCTCTGGGCATCTGGCTGTGTCTCTAGAGAAGGGGAGAGCGTTCCTTGCCCCCTCAGGGGGGAGTAAAACGGGCGGTATTGAGCGCTCTCACGCTACCCCCCCCACCCCCCCCAGCCTCTTTCTCAACTCCTGCCGCTTCCAGCCGCTCCTTGTTAGTGGCTCTAACTGCTTGCATTTTAAAGCGCTGCTGGTTCTTCCCCCCACACGAACGCCGCCCCGCCCCTATCGGCCTCATAGCCTTGCCGGAGGGGTGTAATTCCGCCCTGAGCAGCCCCGACGTTTGACTGATAGGCAGCCGCCTTTTTGAGCGCTGCCTCGTGGCCGGGAGCTAATCAATTCTCCGATCTCCATAACAATGACCGCTGCGAATGTTTCTAGCTCGCCTTACAGGCTTCCCCAGCTTGTTCAGAGCCTCTATTTCTTTTGATATTGTTGGCTATTCCGCAGCAGTGCTCAGGGCGAAGTAGAGCAGCACCCTTGGTACTCCTGGTTGTGTCCTGGGAGCAAAGCTGCTGGAGGCCTCACCTCTCCAACCCAGGCCTAAAGAGGCCTCAGGCGTTCATTTGACTAATTGGATAAGTTTGCCTGGGTTGCACAGATTGAGATCGGATTTCATGTGACAAAAACAAGAAATAAAAAATAAGAAATAAAA